AAATGTTGGGAGTTGTTGGCTGAAAAGTTTGACCGGTTTCAAACTTTGCGCAACAACACGCAACAACATTTGCGCAACAACATGCACAGGGTGTGCAAACGGACGCAACATGTAACATCCAACAATGTTGCGTCCGTTTGCACGGGGCTTAAGGCTGCGTGCAAACGGACACAACATTGTTGACCAATAACTCCCAACATTGTTGGATGTTACATGTTGCGTCCGTTTGCGTTCTTTATCTCTCGCTCTAGATCTCTGTCGCCATTTATCTCTTTGAGTTGAGCTTCGCTGGCCTGCCGCCTCTTTTTCTCTGTCTTTCTCTTGCAATATATTCCAAATTTGTGGACATGACAATTAATCTAAGCTTAAAACTTTAGACAACACGGATAAAGAAACAATTTCCGCTTTCCGTTTTCATCTTTATTGACTCTTTAATTGTCTCTGTTTTACAAGACGCGGGTGGCTATGTGATTTCCCGCCAAAACTGAACTCGAGTTGTATTTGGGTTGCCAGACCTGTTGATTGAGTTATTTTACATTGGTGTGCTTGTGTTGCTGACGGACGGACGGTCGGTCTCTCGGGTGGGTACGGTCACGTGATTACCAAATTTTCTAGGATAGGTAGATTTACTTAGCTATGGCCGCTCCGCACGCGCGCGCTTTGTGTGCGCGTGGAGCTCCGCTAAAAAAGAACAAGACAAAGGAAAGACCATCATCTTAAACCAACTAACAGTTCACCCCTAACAGAAAAATTTACGCTTACTGGATGAAACAAATGATCTCCTCCTCTCAAAATCATCAATTTTTTGTAACCAATTTACAAATATATGCTTTATTTAAAAGGATAAATACAAAAGTTTGCCTGCATGGCCTACATCGCCCATGGAATCATAAAATGCACACCTTTCCTTAGTGCTGGGCACAGAGACAACACCCTATTCCATGGTACTATATCCTGCCTCTTGATTTTTCTCTTGAATGCTGTGCGTTTGCTTTTGGTGCGATTGCTATATTTTGCTATGTTTCAGTGTTTTTGTGCTTTCTTAAATCATTTATGTTTGTTTGCGATCATGTCTTATCCATCGATTATATAAAAGAACTAATGAAGGTTTGCGCAGTTTCCAGTATGAGACCTATAAATCGTTAGGCCTTAGGGTTGATTTCCACTGTCGCGTAATTTTTGCATACGTGCTCACGTGCGTGAAATTTACGTTCGTAAGTAAAATAGAGGCAGTGAAAGGTCCCTCGTAAGCGTAAAAGTTGAACCTTGCTCAACACGTGCGTTAGCGTCCGTAGCCAAAAACGCGTCAGTGGAAATCAACCTTAAAGCAATTTTTCTACAATTTTTCTCTCCACAGACCCTACCTTGGGATACTTGTGTAACATCATGACAGTTTTATGTTATTCGATACATGGAATGAGAAAATAATAATAATAATTCGACTGAAAAGGAGGTTTCTACATGTCTCTAAAACTGATCGCTTTTTCTTGGCAACTCCTCACCGCCTCACCTCACCCCTCCCCCCACATCTCCCTAAGTCTTGACCGAGTGGAGCTTGGGGACCAGGGGCAACCGGAAAACCAAGATGGCGCCTAATGATGGCGCACATGTGCAACTGTACTTCAAATGAAAGCACGGATTCTGCCAGAACGCAGCTTGGTCTTTCAGTTCAGCGTCTTATTACTTTCTGGATCATTCAACTGTGATAAAAGGAAGGTACTTTATTTTGAACAAGAAGGCTCAAGACTGTTTACAAACCCTGGCTTTAGTGACAAAGCACATGATCTTGCACAGCATGGAGAATTTTGATCACAGTACAGGTAAGATATAACGGTTTCAGCTTACAGAGCAATTTTAGAGCTAACGAAACTACATAGTAGTAGCTTAGATAAGAATGTTAACCTAGCTCCTGTCAGAATGGCTTGGGTTAAGAGGGGTTAGCTAGGGAGGGGTGGGCAGTCAAAATGCTTTTTGTTATCATTTATAAGCTTATAAATTCTTTAAGTCACGTGCCAAGTTACATGTACAGAGATTCCAACCCCTTCTGAAGGAAAACAAAGAGTTTTTTTTAGCGCCAAAGGCACTCACATTCTGAGCACCTAAGGCACAAGCCTCTAGGAGGGTCTAGAGGTATGCGCCCCCCATGAAAGTTTCAGAGTGTCCAGTTCCTATTTTTTCCTATTTTTTAAGCCTCTTCCTATTTTCTCCTATTTTTTAACTAAAACCTCCTATTTTTCCTATTTTTTAGCCGGCGAAGCCAATATTTGTAACAAAATTGAAAATGGAATTATAGTTGTATATGTTTTAGAATGAGATTTATCATAAAACAAGTAGTATGTTGACTTTGATGTTCTAATATTAGCAAACATAATAGTTACATTTTCCTTTCCATGACCTCTATTGCCTTTTGGAGTTCTGCTAACAACTTTGTTATGTTGTTACTTTTTGTATAATTTTTTAGTGCACCTACATGTATTGTATGTAGTTTTAGTGTTCTCACGACTATAATTGAATATTTAGTAAAATCCAACTGCTTGTCTATTATCAATGCTGTGTTTTGATTGGTTGAGCTACCACGAGGCTAAATTTTATTGCCCATTAGTAGCGCAAAGCGCCGGCTTTAAAAACCAAAACAATAGAGGCTGAATCGCATTTTGCTAACTAAAGTTGTTTTCATGGGCTGTTGACTCAGAGCCCATTCTAGCTCGAGGAATAATTGTATATTGTTAAATTATTATTGTGCATAGCCCACTGAAACTGCATTTCAGAATCTGTACATGTTATATTTTATTTTGAATTGGCTTTTATGTTCATCTATGAAACTGAAAACAGGATCAAGTTGTCCTCTCACAACACAGGTCAGATAAATAATCCAACCAGCTTCTTGTTTGAAAAACCAATCACAGGGTTCGCACAGTGTTGAAAAGTCCTTGAATTTAAGGGGAAGTCCTTGAAAAGTGCTTGAATTCCATTTTCCTTGAAAAGTCCTTAAATTTCTGCACAAGTCCTTGAATTTTCTTCAACTTTAAATGTAGTGGCCTGGAAAGTTTTT